GGGAGATATGATTTCCTTTACAATGAAAATCTAATAAAAACAATGGCAAAAAGTGGGGAACCAATCAGAAGCAACCACTCGAGTGCTGCTACGCCACTCTTTAATTTTTTGACAACAGYACTTTTGGGAAGTTACTCATATTAGTGTATGAAGGCAGGCACCATAAGCTCTTATTTTTTTAAACATAAAATCCATAAAAACGTAATTACTATGTCATGCCTCAAAAGTTCAACTTGTATTTCAAAACTTTTGGATCCTATTAATAATAATAATAATGATAAATTAACTTTGTTTATAGAGGATAACACTTGACAGTAATTCAACTGATAAACTTGTGGTCCTCTGTTAACGTCTTTAGTTAATTAGGGATGGGACCACCATTAACGTGATCATCCRAGCCACGTGAAGGTCTAACCATTTRCAGATGTAATTACAAAGGCAGCACTTTCTCCTCAGTTATTTTAAGACCCTGAGTGTTGGTCTGGCCAAGGCTTGAACCACGACCTCCCGCACAACAGACCGACGCTCTTACCATCTGAGCTAACCAGGTGGCTCTCATCCATACAAAATCGAAGCTAACCCTGTACAAYAGAGAATTCAAAAAGACTGTAATGTTTTCAAAAGTAYTGTCTGAGTGTATAATAATGGTTTTACTCTGATAAACAAACACAGGGTTCAGGCAAAACACTAGCATTTGGTATCCCTATCATTCATCATATCATGGCCGTCAAAGAACGTACAGYTAACAAGACCAACGATGATAGTAAACATGAAACAGAAGATGGAGAAGACAATGTTAAYGAAAACCCTCTAATGGCACTGATAATGACTCCTACAAGAGAGTTGGCCTTACAGATCAAGGACCATCTTGTTGCCGCAGCAAAATATACACCTATTAAGGTAAATGTTTTTCCATTGTGTTTTGCACTGTTTTTCTCTTTAAAGTGCATATAGAGGGAAAAAATTTACTTCAAAATTACTATATGTTTACTAAACAGTGTAGTATTATGGTTGCAGTATTTCRACATCTCAAATGTTTATATCTCTGAGAAGACCACATACAAAAATACTGCAACCATACTGTACTACACTGTTCACATATAAGTGATTTTGAAAATATATTTTTTTCCTTGATATTCACTTTAAAGCATGACCCACAGACACCCTGCAGACAGGAAAAATCTTTATTTTTCATGACCCACAGACACCCTGCAGACAGGAAAAATCTTTATTTTTTCTTAGTGCTAAAAAATGGTTGAATTCCGATAGAAAAACAAAACAAAAAATCAAARATTTTTCAAGTCGTATCTGTCTTTATAAGAAATGCAGTTGAACAGTCATGATTGACAGGCGATTTGGGCRAAGGGTCATGCTATTTTAAGATTCACTGCTTTTAACTAGGTCCGCTAAAATACAGTGTGGGGTTAGGAGTCCATTAGACACAGAATTAATTGACTCACAGATAAAACCCTGTTTAGTCCATCCACAATTTTTATTTTATCTTACCATACTTCAGGTTGCTGCAGTGGTTGGAGGTATGGCTGCTCAAAAACAGCTACGATTGTTGAAAAAGCATCCAGAAATTGTGGTTGCAACACCAGGCAGATTATGGGAAATGATTTCATCGGTATATATAAGTATATAGTGTTATAAATTTTTTTTTTGCAATTTTACATAAAATGATGTACACAGTTTTTCAAGGCTGCAAAWATATTTTTTCTATAAGGTTATMATATGTCAGATCAGTGACAAGGTTTTGACCTGACATGTCGCCAGTCTGGTTGGTCAAAAGCTTCCTTCAAATACTACTGCAACCAGGGAAAAAATTGCTTTCATGCTACAGTATATATATATATATATATATATATATATATGAAGAGATTGTGATTTTCATAAAGAAATATAGTTGACGCGTACACTTTGATAGCGTCAGTTTTCGATGACGGCCATCATTCAGTGTGTTTTATACAGCAATAAAGAAAGCTTTATATCAAACAACAAGCAAACTTCTACATGTATGTATATTTAAAATAGTTAAATGGTTAAAAATATTAAACTAAAGGTCGCAATATAATCAACACAGTAATTAATATGCTTGCTTCCTATTACTGTAAATACTTTTGATTCTGCCCTTGACAACCTTCAYATTTGAACGACAAAACATAGGAACCATTTTAGAACTGTGCTAAATATTAACTTTTTAGTGCCAGTTTCTACATCTTTAATATATGCCGATGTATCATTATTATTTTGGGTTTCAGCAAGAGGAACATGTGAGTAACTTGGAGCACTTGCGGTACTTGGTGATTGATGAAGCAGACAGGATGATTGAACAAGGACACTTTGAAGAACTATCATCTATACTGGATGCTATACACTTCAAAAAGTATGATTTTCAGTGCTATAAATGATGGCTGGCCAATCAATATCYTGGCCATGATTTTTTTGGGAAGCACCGGTGGCGTGCGCTGCTAATGCATCGCCTCTCACAAAATGCAACCCGGGTTCTAGCTCTGCCGGTCTCGGTGTCATATTTGATTAGAGTTGTTTGTTGGTTCTCTCCTGTGCTTCGAGGGTTTTCCTCCGGGTTCTCCGGTTTTTCCTCCCTCCACAAAAATCAACTTCTAAATCCTAATTCTATCTCCTGGCTGCCTTATCAATTGGGTTGCAAGGCCTGTAAGGCATTAAGCCCTCCGACCAGGAGTGGTAAACACAGTGGATTTATTTTTAGATTTTTGGCAACAGTTTAGTTTAGTTTTAGCTTGGTCATTTTTAGCTTGATCATACCTAGATTCTGGCTCAATGTTACTTTCAAAATGACCAACAAGGCAAAGATTTGACCAGGAAAAGTTTCAGTTCTGACCAGACATCGTTCGATGACCTGCCATTATGTTTGGTCCTAGGATTTAGAAGTATGGGTGAATTCACCTTTTCGGCGCTAGCTGGGATTGTGTTACGGTCACCAAAAAGTTCAGCCATTGTTCTCGGATTTCCATACAAATTCACTGACTTTAAAGAGAAAATTTAAGTAGATTTCTTTAGTTAGCTATCTTAAGAGCAGTAAGGAAAGCTCCAATCAAGCTAGAAAAATGATTATTTACTTGTATTTAGAGAACTAACTAAACATTAACTAAGTGAATAGTTCATTTAGAGTCAGTACATTTGTACGTAAAACTGGAGAACAATGTCCGAACGTTTTGGGGACCGTAACACAATCTAAAACAATTGATACCACATGACGGCTAGTGCCAAAAAGTACAGCATGCCATGTGGATATAGCATTCATGAAAAGTTTCAATTATTGAGCATTTTTGTCCAGGCTTTAGATTTTACATTCCTACTTTGTGAGTGAAGAACTATATGTCACTTTCCATTGGTTTGTCATGTTGTTGTTTTCATTTATTCATCTATCCATCCATCCATCCATCCATCCATCCATCCATCCATCCATCCATCCATCCATCCATCCATCCATCCATCCATCCATCCATCCANCCATCCATCCATCCATCCATCCATCCATTCCATTCCTTTATCTGTTTGTTCATTTATCCATTCATTTGTTTTATTTTTTCTTCTTTTTTAGAAGTGCAAAATCGTTTGATAGCTGTTATCCAGAAGAAGATGTAAAGATCATAAGTTAGTATATTATTTATTTTGTACTCTGGTTAATACGTGCACATATCATATTGATGGTATACATGTACGCCTATTTCAAAAAAAATWATCAGTTGGAGAGATCTGAACAAATTGYCTGGCTAAATGTATTTTGAATTTTTAATGAGAAAAAACTCCCACAATTCCATTTGGTCTCAGATTTCAGACCTCTGACCAATAAGTGTTTTTTAAATGTGTATAAACCCTGAGGTGGATGATACACCTATTTCAAAAACGTCGGTCGGATATCTAAAATTTGAAATCTGACACCAGTAGCATGATGCAAATTGTAATACATTCACAGTCGAACAACTTAGTTTCCTTTTAGATTGTAATATGACTTTTGACTTAGGAATGTGTTTTTTAAAGTGCTTATAAGCCTTTGCACAATATTTTCAGAATTGATTCTTTAGATAGTGAATAGTTGATTGTGAAAATATTTCGTCATTTGAATGTCGGGTCTTTAAGATACGAAGGTTTTTATTCGCAATATGTTAATGACTATGACGTAACATAAGGGATCATTTAATATACAACACCGCACTCGTTCTGGAATACAGTAATTTAAAAGGATCACCCTTTTACTCATGACTCACGTAAAGGTTCTTACAAATTTGTTTTCAAAAAAAAATGTCCAGTGTTCAATATTAAAAGTTGCCACAAAATAACTCAAATCCCTTATGTTACGTCATWGTCATTAACATATTGGAAATATAAACCTTCGTATCTCAAAGACCCGACTTTCAAATGACGTATTATTTTCACAATCAAATRTTCACTATTTAAAGTTAAGAATCGATTCTGAAAATATTGTGTAAAGGCTTATAAGCACTTTAAAATATATTTTAGCCACAAAACATAAAAGTAGAAAATACTGTTTAGTCTCAGATCACTCATTTCAGATCTCTGTGATCATCATCATCATTATTGCTAATATTATTTTTATTGATGGTCATGTTATAGTTGAAAAAAAAAAAATTTCTTTTATTGTTCATATTCACATGGTTGTGCTTTTTTTTTTTTCGAAAGAAAACACATCAACAGAAAAGTTTCAAAAGTTCATTTTTTCTGCAACCTTAACATTTCCCAAGTCAATCAGGCGAAAAGGAAAAGATTATGTATTGTCAACTGAAGATTTACTAGGTAAGGGATGTTATACACTACCTTAACTCTGATTGGACGGTTATTCATTTTACTCACTATCTTGACTCTGATTGGACAGTTACTCATTTTATTCGCTATCTTAACTCTGATTGGATAGTTACTCATTTTACTCACTATCTTGACTCTGATTGGACAGTTACTCATTTTACTCACTATCTTAACTCTGATTGGATAGTTACTCATTTTACTCACTATCTTGACTCTGATTGGACGGTTATACGTTTTACTCGCCATCTTGACTCTGATTGGACAGATACTCATTTTACTCACTATCTTGACTCTGATTGGACAGTCATAATTAATTTTATGCTCTATCTGGCTTCTAATTGGCCAAGAACATTTGGCCCAGATAGAGTGTAAACTTGACGGTTTTTTCCTGCAGATATTGCATTTACCATGTCAAGTTCACTCAAGGTCACAATGGTTATTGAAATACGTTTGCAGACTTTTGAAAATGAGAGAAGACATTTCTCATTTCTGTCTTTTTCTGCATTTGCTTGCAGTTCGTCTACTGAACAAGATGAATATCGATAGCAAGAAGGCAAAAATTATTGATGTTACAACGAAGAAAGGGACGGCACATACACTCACTGAAGCTAGAATAACATGCAGCAAGGAAGAYAAGGTATTTTATGTTTTTATCGTCCTCTGAATTCTCTACTGTTCACCTCTTTAATAGCCCCTTTCACAGTTCCCTGCCCACCTTGAAAGGTAGCCGTGCCTTTGCTTCGAAGCGAGATGAACGGTGAGCTTGCAATGATAGAGACACGTGAATAATTGTCCAAGGTGTTAGAAAAGGTCTCTATCATTGCAAGCTCACCATTCGTCTCGCTTCGATTCAAAGGCACGGCTACCTTTCAAGGGGGCACAGGGAACTGTGAAGGGGACTATTGTTGGTAYTCAAAACTTGATTATCCACAATAATTCTTAGACCAGTTTCGAGTTTATTACTACACTGAGATAACATCTAGGCTCTAAGCCTGAGCTCCGAGCRAATTAATTCTTGACTAAATCGCTTCTTATCTTGAAAAAATATAAAACGCGYGCGCGTGCTGTKTGGAGTTATAAAGCACGACACTTCTCGAGTGTTCTAGCAACAAGTGCTTTATAACTCCACACAGCACAGCAAGCAAGGTCTTTAGTTCCCCCACAAAACACAAACTACATGAATAACGCAACTGAAAGTGAGCGCGCGTGCAGTGTGCTCTCATAAARCACGCGCTCCAATCACAACGCGAGATTTATAACAGTTATTTTATAATCAGATAGAAAAGGAATGATTATRAAAATAATATAGACGATTTCATCGTATCTTTATTATCTTATTGATTTTATTTACTGTATCCYCATACATTCTCCTATAATAACGCACATAATACTTGGGCTACCTGTGCTTTTTCGTYCCTCCGAATAGCCCACTTCCGAGATATGCTTCGCTTGTCACGCACAAAGGTTTCAGTATGAGGCTACGTGCTAAATTAAATTAATTCCTACCGCCTGTCACGAATGACTGAGCATTTAGCACGTAGCCTCATACTGAAACCTTTGTGCGTGACAARCGAAGCATATCTCGGAAGTGGGCTATTGGTTAGTAATGATGAAGTGTGGAGATACGGGACCGCCATTTAGAGTAGTCATCCGAACCACCAGAAAGCCCAAGCTCTTACGAACTGAGCTAACCGGGTTGGCGGTATGGGTGGCTTTTCTTGTTGGTATTCCTACTTTATGGTGAATATTTTGTTGACAATGCCCTTCCATTATTTCCAGGACGCATACTTGTATTATTTTCTACTAAAGTACCCAGGAAGAACTTTAATCTTCGCSAATACCATCGACTGCATCCGACGACTTGCCTCCATACTCAGATTACTGCAGCTCAATCCTTTGCCTTTGCATGCCAGCATGCAACAAAGACAACGACTCAAAAACCTTGACAGGTAATTAACTCTTACTTGATGTCACAAATACAAGTATAAGAAGTAAAATCATGGGTAGCATGGGTGGCATGGGTGGCGTTCGCGGCACGGGTCGGGTCGCTGGTTCGAGCCCTGCGGTCGCCACGTGAATTGAGTTTGTTTGATGCATTGTTCTCTCCTATGCTACGAGGATTTTCTCCGGGTTCTCCGGTTCCCTCCCTCCGTAAAAATCAACATGTGAGTTGAGCGTTGTTTGCATAGAATATTAAATGTAGTTGTAGTGCGTGTGAGCGAAGAGTCCAACCTCGACTGAGGACTATTGTTTTGTGGTCAYTCAAGCGAGTTCGGAAAAAGTCTATAATAATTGCGCAAAATCACCTTTCGTCTTAGTATTTAGTCATACTATAAATCGATTTGTTCTTTCGTTTTATTAATGTTTCGTTCGATCGTTCATATATGGGTTTAGTCCGTCATATTCTCGTACGAAGACCCTTCTCAGCTTTCTAACGAAAAATYGATCGAATTTTCGTTAGAAAGTTGAAAAGGGTACGAGAATAGTTCCTTCACTTTTCAACCATCCTATTTTTTTTCTAGGTTTAAATCTTCAGAAAATGGTTTACTCGTATCGACAGACGTSGCAGCGCGAGGACTAGACATCCCCAATGTACAACACGTGATACATTATCAAGTCCCAAAGGACCCAGAGGTATGATAGGTCACGTGGTCGCTCTTGTAGATATTTATTTACAGCTATTTCCAAAAGTGAATATTTTGCATACCAAACCCCGAATGCACTATGGGTAATGTGAATGCAATCGGCAAAAGGTCACAACGATATGGGATTTTTTGGGAGAAGGAAAACTTGGTTTACTCGTTTTCTTGGTATGCGCATATTTTCTTCTGTGCGGAAATAATTACTGGGTTGCCTGTGAAGTTTGTTTCTTACTGGAATAACTGTAGCATTGGTATAGGAAATTGAATCTCGAGTATAATTCGGAATTTATAGGTACGAGTGATGTTTTGAAAGTTCAAAATTGAGAAGGCAGTGTTTATTCGTACAGTAACCGTACACCGACTTGCTATTTCTCTTCGTATGGATATTTAAATAAAGTGGGAATTTTTCGAGGATTTTGGTTCTCCTCGCTCAGAAAAAAAATTCAATGGCAGGCAAGATTCGAACGCGGCACCCTTGGCATCAAATGTTATTAGTGACCACAGTAAATCCGTGAAACTTTAGTAATACTAAATAGCACAATTTCATGCAAATTCCATTGTTTTCTATTGTTTAACTAGCACTATTTTGTACTATTTAGTAATTAGTGTTTCACGGATTTAATGTGGTCACTCTACAATGCCTATCCCAACCCTAACCCTAAACCTAACCACTCAGCCACGAAGTGAATTCGCTGGGATGCTTAGGGGGCTCTGGTGGGATTTTTGGGGAGGGCACTCTAAAAATAGTTAGCTAAATATAAAAATATATTCTAAAAATTATTCTGTTTTTATGGGGGGCCAGGAACGTAAAAGAAATTCAGGTAGAAAGGGGTCCTACTTTTTAAAAAATTACAGTTCACAAAATCCCACCAGCCCACCCCCAATTACCCCGCATGCCCGTAAAAAATGAGCGATATATTGATTGTAAACTAACGTAGATGAGGATCCAAGGCTGGGTCTACAAAACCAACCATAATGTTTTGTTATCAGGTTTACATCCATCGTAGTGGACGGACAGCACGGGCATTAAACGAGGGTCTCAGTGTGGTACTTGTTGGACCTGAGGATCTGGCCTCGTACAGGAAGATCATGAAAACTCTTAATAATGGTACGAAAATAAACCTTTGCATAAACACTGCTTTATATACTACCCAGTAGATTGAGACAGCTGTGATTTTTTTGTCGTAGCGTCTATTATGTTAACCGCAAGTGCATTTCAAATCGAACACGTGATGCCAATGTTGTGTCACGTGGACAAGTGTTTAACACCATATGATTAAAACTTGACTGCACTTCGGTTACGTTGTATTTCGTATTGTTCAAAAGTTATTCAAGATGACACAAGTAAACGTGAAGGGGACTATCGTGAACTCCAGAGTTTTTTCCAGGCCCATCGATAGGGGTGGTTCGATGGTGCAAACGACTACCCCCCCCCCCGCCCCACCCCTACGCAATAAAATGTTATTAATTGCATAACTAAGAGTGGTAGAAAAACGAACCTCCTCTTTCAAGTTCCTAGCGACAGGCCTGTTTTCTAGCAAGGTGTTACGCTGATATGTTTGTCATCATTGTTGTTACTCTGCAGGTAACGAACTGGAGTCCTTCCCAGTAGATGTACCATATATAACAGACGTTAAATCTAGGATATCACTGGCTAGAAACATCGACAAGGAACAAAACAAGTATGTAACTAGGCGCATATCTGCGTGAACTCGGGCTTCATAGCAGAAAATAGAAAGAATTCTTCGTGAACACTGTCATCTTTCTGACGAAACCTTGAAAAAATCCGCCATTGCTCGCCCATGTGCTTATGTGGCGCATACTTCGCATGCGCATAGAACTTGCGCATGCGCTTTGAACGCAACTGCGATTTGTGACAGAACGCAAATAAAGCCCAATTTATACCTTGGGCTGATTTCTTTGAGAGCCCGAGTAATAATCAATGAAGATTTAATCAAACTATGATTCTTTGTCTTAATACATGTTAAACTTGTCAAAAAATGTTGTGTTTTTTTTGTTCTTTTTCTTTTTGTTGAAGAATCCAAAAGAAGAAGTCAACCAATGACTGGTTTGTGGCATCAGCCAAAGCGATGGATATTGAAGTGGATGACGACTTGTATCCTTAGATATTTTACTGTGATTATTGTGTAATATTATTGTCTGATACTGTGAAGAGAATACCACAAGGCTTTAGAACTTCAACATTTACTCTCAAATTGTGACTAACATTCGATTCTCTTTCTTTCCATTTTCTTCCTTCCTTCCTTTCTTTTCTTTTGTCCCTTCGTGTGGCGTTCTTTTGTTCATTTATTCGTGTAATCATTCTTCCATCCATCCATTTATTCATCCATCCATCCATCCTTCTTTTCACTTACATAACTAGTCACTTACTCTTTCTATATCAGCTGTTTTTCATTCTACTGATGTTTATGATAAATTGTAATCCTCATGCATCACAATCCTCGTGCTTACATCATATTTTTTTGCTTTTCAATCCATTTCGTGACAGCTTTTAAGTGTGACGTCAATCTTATGAAAAACCTTTCCGAGCCAAGAAAGAATATCAGAAAAGAGTTTTCAGTACAGAGTTGTGTTTGTTTTCCGAGATCGATTCGTTCAGAAATCCTTTTTTCACTATTTAAGAGGTTTTTGTGAGCAGCTGGACCAAGAAATACGTCAGTCACAATCAAAACCTCTTATTTTACTAACCCGAAGGCTAGGATAATTTTCCCATATTCTTGTTAAAGAATCTTTGGTACTTGCTTAATATCCAATGGTTTGTTACTTGATACACCTTTTCCTTGATTAACTACAGACTCGAGGATTTAGGAGACTCGAGAGAGAAAA